TTCGAGTCGTAGTTGAACCCAGAGGAGTAGAAAGAGACGGAAGGCGAGGGTCAGGGAAGGTCGAGCAGTCGAGCATCCTCGTAGTTCGGCGTCCACTTGAGTGGTGTCGCAATTCAAGGCATGTATCATCCCAAAAGTAGTGAGGAGTTCGTGGATATAGTGCACCCCATTATGGATCGCCTGAGTCGCCTGTCGAATAGCTGAGTCCAGGCCTCGAATCTGCAGCTGAATATGTGGTGAAGTAATGTAGTCCATGAACGAAGGTTGGAGGATGATAGCAAAGCGAGTGCGAAGAAGGGAGGTAGCGAGAATCAACAGACCATGTAAATGAAGAATCTCTCGATGTAGGATAGTCTGGGCCCTCATCGTGATGCCGTCCACAGGGTGGAGACCAGCCGGAGAAGGGAACATGGCGAGAGGAGGAGGATCAATTGAAAAGCTAAGGCTCCAACAGGTTCCAATGAACCTTGAACAGGCTTCGGCCGCTGCGGCCACGTACGCCGTGCCAAAATGGCTGGCTGCTTAGACCGCTGCGGTCACGTAAAGGCATGAGCCAACTTGGAATTCCAAAGATGAGACAAAAATCATCGGACGTACGGCCTGGGCCACCTGCTGTCCGCTGCGGACATCTGCGTTCCCAGAGCCGGGGAAGACATACGCCCGTTCGACGGGTCCACGGGAGGCACTCTGCGGGCTCATCCCGGGTTGGCGCGAAGCCAAACACACTTATGGATATGCGTACGGACTTGATAGCGGTGCCACACGCCGGCCTAGGGTTCCAATTCCTAAGGGTACAGGTAAGAAAGAGGAGGTCCGTCCAGTAGAAAACACCGATCGAACGGACGACAGGGTGACGACGGTTCGAGGAGGTCAGTGGAGCTCCCAAGGTCCAAGCACTCAAGGAAAAGCACCGATGCATTAGCCGCTTACTGCAAAACACAGCATTGGAACAGCTTGTCCATTAAGTAGGTTTCTCTCCACGCAGGTACGTCAATCCGGCGTCCCGGATTGATTTCACAGACCAGTGCAAGCGTCTTTGTTAGTGCCAGACTTGCACGGTCCCTGGCACCCCCTGCTGTAAAACAAAAGCAAATGCAAAAGCATCCCTATGACTCCAAGGGTGACACACACACATCGCTCGGAATCGCATTGTAAGCGTGTCTCACCTCTTCTTGCTTTACATCCTGCTAACACTGCCCGCCGTGGTCGGGATAAGACCACTTGATAGCTTTGATGGTCGTTTCGAGTGTGTTACGTTTTGAAAGTCTCATGCGGATCTGATCGCAAAATCCAGAGCCTCCAAACTTCTCTCTCCGCCTCCTTCTCTCTCTCTCTCTCTCTCGTCCCTCTCATCCTTGTTCATCGCATCATCAGACACTTTATCACACACCCACACACACACACACGCACGCCATCTTACCACACACACACCTCCTCCCTCCCCTCCTTCTCATCCTCGTCCATCACATCATCACTTATACTGCACGTCTGAGCACAACCGCCTCATATACCTTCTCTCCTCACACTTCGTTCTTGACTTTTCATCTCACTACTCCGTCTCCCATGTGATGTTCATATACACTTGAAATTTGTAAAACTTATCATGTGGGGTTATCCGGTCCTTTTATTGTTTTCAGGACAGTAAGACAGTAAGAGGAATCAAACAAATCGATACCTCAAAGTCCAAGAAGCTTTGCGACGCACAATGCTCCAATGTGTAGTTCATGCATGGCAAGCCACTGGAAAACGGGGGATCTCACTAGCCTCTTCCAAAACGGTGTAGAAGGTCAGGAGATGTGCATATTTGCAGACGATATTTTTGGAATGTAGAAAGTCATCAGGATCATGTTCCATTCATTCCTTGGTCTCTTTGCCCAATTTCGTCATAGGGGGTGCCAGGCCTGATGTCAACGCTGCTACAGGTGCTTCTCAACTTGTATATACAACTTACATCGCGATTAGTGTTAGGTTTATTACATGCCTTACTCGACCTTTACTACGTTGAATCGGAACAACTACAAAGAAGAACCATGGATCGAATATTATTGAATATTATATATGGCGTGAACCACAGAGTGTGAACCATAAGTTTCCTGATTGTGTGTCCTGACATCCATACCCACGACCTGCAGGAGGGCGCAGTCCATAGCAGGCAAAGTGCCGGATGGCTAATAATGGTCAATGCTTTGCTCAATCAACTCTCCTCCCCGGAGAACCAGCACCCATTCTTTACCAGCATCAATGGTGCTTGACATTGTCAGGAAGCTCCATGGCCAAAACAACACAACACAAATGTCACCCACTGTAAAGCTCAAAACAAGCACGAGAAGGGACCCAGTGGCCAATAGACTGATGGCTTTGAACTCTAGAAAACATCAGTGGGTTTGTCCAGAAGCAGACAGCCATGAGATATGAGCGCTTACTCTAACAACAGAGTGTTCAGTCCATGCTATGTTGCATGTAACGAAGATTTGCAAACAAAGGTCCAGAACACGCGCACAAACAAATGAGCTGCAAAGCATTCAGTTCACTCACTCTGAGAAGATAAAGAGAACTGTTATTGTAGCTTAGTATAAGACGATTCATCCTTCAGGCATCTTCAGGCTCATTGTGTACGTTTTTTCCTTATGAGCTTTAGGTAACCGTTAACATCGTTTAACCGCGATTTGCGAATACCCTGTGTTTGAGGTCTCTGAAATTCTGAAAGGATAATGTTTCATTATTTTTCCCAAGAGCGCGTGAGCGAAGGGTTCTTCTAAAAGAAAGCAAGACATCTCACATCCGCACATATCCAGCCATGCACATCTTCACATTTGCATATCTTCACATTTGCACATCTCTCTCTCTCTCTCTCGCATTCTCTTTGCTTCTCTCCCTCTCCGTCTCTTTTCTTTCTTTGGCTGGGGTGGCGCCGACAAGCGACCACGAAACGCAACCCTCTCGCACGAAATGAGGGTAAGTGCCAAAAACATCCAAAAACTGAGGGAACACTGCGATTTTGATGTTTTGGCAGCAACCTTTTCCTACGAAATGATGGTCAAGTGTAAAAGACTGCGGGAATGTTGTGATTTTGAAACTTTGTTCGCAATCTGTTTGCACCAAATGAGAGATACTGTGGTTTTTGAAACCTTTCGCACGAAACGAGGCCCAAGTGTAAGAAACTGCGGGAGTACTGCGATTTTGATGTTTCGGCAGCAACCTTTTCGCACAAAATGAGGGTGCCAAGAATTGCTTGCAGGCCTGCAATTTGAGTGATTGCTGCGACTGCGTTGGTATGTTGGTTGACTATTTGATTTGATACTACTTGCATGTGTTTTCTGGTGGTGTTGACTTAAGTCGATCCATTGGGTTATAATTTGCAAATGCCCAGGACTGCCAGCACCCTGTTTGGAGTTTTATGTTGCAACCACGGATGCTGAATATGTGTCAACGGTTCCTCTTCTATGGAAGCACAATTCAGCTCATGTGTTATATAATATAGTTTTTTTGATTGATACAGTGTGATAATTATGAGGCTTACGCCTGACTGCCGGGCGCCGGCCCACTCGGGTCTATGTAGGGCTGGGTCCTGTCTCTCTCTCTCTCTCTCTCTCTTTCTCTTTGAGACTTGGTGGGGCCTATATCTGGCGCGCATCTTGGCTCTAGGTTGGACCAAGTTGGGCCCCTGTGGTCTATGTTGGGCACATCTTGGGCCCATGTTGAGCCTATGTTGAGCCTATGTTGGCCTATGTTAGGCCTATGTTGGCTTGTGTTGGCCGAGGTTGGCTCTATGTTGAGCCTATGTTGGCGTATGTCGGCCCCACGTTGGCCTATGTTGGCCCTATGTGGAGCCATCTTGGAGGCTATGTTGGGGATATGTTGGCTATCTTGGGCCTATGTTGGGGATATGTGAGGCCATTCATGTTGAAAAACTCTTCCGACACAACTTTTTCCGTTTTTTCCTTCCGGCAAAGCCAAAGCCATGGAAACACAATTTTTCAAACGTTTTTTTACATCGCCGAGGTGAAATTCTCGGCCGCCGAGGGGCCCCAAACCCTGTAAAACACGAGATTTTTGAACCTCGCACGCACAAAACCCTGTAAATTACGTTGATATCAGTGACCCGGCGGTCCCCCCGTTTTGGTCCCGAGGGTCGGCGGCAGGGGGGGCGAGCGTCTATAACCTTCGGTTACCACCGAAGGCCTCCGGCGAGGACACGGGCGCTTGACCGCAGCGATGCCAGGTCGGGACCAGGTGATGGCCTATCCTGCTGTGCTGAGTAGGAGCCCAGGGGATGGCGTTGCCTGGCACGTTGCCCGGCACGTTGCCTTCGGGACCCTAAAGAAAAGAGGCGCAGGCCGGCAAAATGCCTAACGTCGCCTGGCCTGGCCCAGTTGCCTGGCAGCAAGCCTGGCAAACGACGCCATCTATTTCTGCCCACAAAAGCGGTCGGAACGGGGGGGTGCTAACGTTGCCTGGCACGTTGCCTGACCCTAAACAAAAGAGGTGCAGGCCGAGCCGCAGCCAGCCAAAATGCCTAACGTCG